TTTATTCATCAAATAATGTATAATGGTTCTTTCTGTAGGAAATAGTTCAACTGAAGAATAAAAGTGGCAGGGAAGCTTTGATTTATTATTTGAAGAAAACCAATTCCTGTCTTCAAGAGGTAACACCCAATACTTAGAAAAACATCTTACAGCTGAGATGTGGTTGGCATGGTTCCAAAAAATAAGATGCCAGTTTCAGTGAAAAACTCAGCTGTACCTACAGACAAAACTATCAGACATCCAGATGCCAGGTAAAAACCCAAATTAACATGGTGACAGCTTTACCCACATTTCAGCAGTGCCATTCTACATCAGTTTTCATTCACCTCTGTCTCATGTGATACAAGTGTTCACATTTTGCCACACCATGAACTTATAATACTTTCAGCCGCCTCATTCTCCTTGATCATCAGTCCCCTAACAGCCTGATTTAATTTAAGAACTTCAGGGAATAAAAGCCTTTATCACAAACACCAGTGGAGGAGGACAGGGGAAAATTTATCAAGTCCAGTAACAAAGGAAGGTTTCTTTTTGGACCTGATTCAAACCCTGTTGAAGCCAAAATAAATCTTTCAACAAGCTTCAATAATCCTTGTTGTTTACAACATTATGACTCCAAACCAATCAATGATCTTGTATTCTCAGCACCTAAACCCAAGTCTAGTAAAAACCACCTTAAACATCAGCAAATCATTCTGAGATAGTGCTTGACTCAACAGTATTTACTTCACTGGCTGGCAAGTGTACAGATGCTAACAGTTACTAAACATGCTGCTAAGAATCCAGTAATATTTTTATAAATTTTGCACTAAATTAAGCATTAAGTACATCAACGCCTACCTGGATTTTCTACACCACCTCTGAACAACTGCAGAAGCCCGAGTCCTTTAAAAAGCCTGGTTTTGAGAATTTCTAACTTCAAAATATATTTGAGACAGTTTTACAAGGCCTAAATTCAAAATGAAGCTTTTCTCTGTCTCCATCTTGGATGAAATGCAATATTTATGCACACACTTAGAGGCACAGGCATGTAAAAAAGTTACAGTGACACACAGAATCACAGTATTAACCCCTGACAACCACCTGTGACTTGAAGGAGTAAAATCTTATAAATGGTTCAAGTGCAGGTGTAGCCTGCTGCAGACAGAATCCTTCTAGACCTTCCAGAAGTACGAAGCAGCACCTGCAGTAATGGTATTTTCCAAAGTGCTGAAAAACATGTTAAGATGCAAACTATTATGTGCGAAGATAGGGATAATGTAGAGACAGGGGAAGAAGCAGGACACAGTTTAACTTTCCCAATAGTAGCTGTCACTTGAAATCACATGCCATTTCTACATATAGAATTCCCCCAAATACGTTCTTTCTTTAACAGAAGGTTTTAAGTCGAGTCTTACCCTTTCTCTGATAGGTAAAAAAACTTGCATAGTTAGCATAGGAAAACCTTCTCATTCACATGGATCCTACTGGAAAAATGTGTCTGAAATTTAACTTTGTTGGTCTGACTAAAAAGAATCTGGTACATGTCAGAAATTTTTAACATATTAATAAACAGTCACACATGCAAGTGAAATCAGTGTGCTTGTCTCTGCCTGCAGCTCCTTACCTTCTGCCAAGTAAACCTTCTCTCAGTGACCTCTATCTCTGACTTCCTTCCAGCCTAGAGCTGGTTAATTGCCTTTCCCTGTTCCTGTTATTTATGCTACAATAGAAACCTCAAGCCAGGTCAGCCCTTTTGCAAGCAGCAGAAAATTATTTCAGCGTAAAGCTCTTCATAGCAGAATGTAACAAGACACACAGGAAGGCGGAAGGTCAAAACAAAGGCATAGAAATAAAAAGGCTTTAAGTTCAAGTTGAAGAGCAGACCACCAGCAGGACCACAACCCAGCATCTCCCAACTGTGGGCTCACTACAATTGTTAAGCCAGTTCCTAACACATGGCTTATGCAGCTTTTCAGCAAATCTATTACAGCCATCATCTTTTTCTCACATTATCAAAGTGAGATCTTTGTAGTATCTTCATCCTTGCCACAACAGTTATCCTCATTAATTTTCATTTCCTCTTTCCCTGACCTTACCTTGGACCCTACCTCATCTCTAGTCGGAGGCAGTGGAGGAGGACAGGGGAGAAGCATGAAAACAAAGTGAGTCAGCAGTTTCCGAGCAGGACAGGAGCATTAGTCACAGGTGATCAGGGTACTTGCCACACGGTCAGATGTGAATAAGCCCAAGACCATCAAACAACAGACTGGTGAGCAAACTTTCCCAAACGCCTGAAACTAAACCACTGGACAAAGCCACCCCCCAGACAAAGCACTTCAGGGAAAAAACACATACTCAGCTGCCACATACCAGTGCTGAAAGGCAACAAAGCACACAGGGTACCACCGTCGGTCTCATTTCTAGTTCCCTTAGGAGAAAGCCGACTGCATTCAGCGCAGCAAAATCAAACACACCTGAGAGATGGTTGCCTTGACATAAGATGTTTTCCCTTGAGAGCGAGGCCCACAGTTACAAAAGCTTTCACTGAGTAAAGCATATACACAGTGCACTACTATGCATTGTTGCCCTCTTGCTGATCTGCTCCCTTTTCAGGACATACCAACAGCAGTAGCAGGGATGCTGTTAGTTAGGGAAGTGTTGTTCTACATCACACAGTGGAAATTTGAATGTTTAAACTTTAAGACCAAATTACTAATACAAATTCGGAGGGCCACAGTGCTCATTTGTAACACAAGAACAGTATCTTGCTACCCTCAGCACAGCTGTGACAATGTCTTCCTGTATAAAGAGATTTCAAGGGGCATTACTACTCCCAGTCTTCACATTCTAGCATGAAAAACAGGGTACACAACAGAAAAAATTAGCCAATCCTTTTCAGCAGGGCAGAGTACAGCCATAGGATTCTCATTCATCCCCTGCAGAGAATTCCTCTCCTACAGAGCTCTCCTCTGTTATGGTACAGTAAGTACATTAAACTGTAGGTGATGTAAAACCGTCACTCCAGCAGAGCACGCCTCACTCCAGAGACGAACATTGATTTAGTGCCTCTGCAATTGGCTGGACAGAACAAGACTTATGGAAAAAACAACCTCCCCACCAAAATGACACCTACTAGGTTTCAAGGAACACAGTTCATTACCGTGCTCTGGGCACAGCATTCTCTGGTCTGTGACTCTGGGCAAGTGCTCACCTCTCTGCAGTTTATCCACTCCTAAAATACATTACTTACACCTTCTTCACTAAAAATTCACTAAACTGATTCACTAAAACCTGTTAAAAGTGCTTGCCAACAACACAACTAAACTTTGCTTAAGAGAACCTTTACCCACGGCAGTGGCTTGCAACAGTTTCTCTGTTCACTGCAGGCTTTCCAATAGATTCTTACCCACGAAACCTGGTCCTGTCATCCACAAAACACAGTTAGTTTCCCTTTTTGATACAGCTTATTCAGGCACTGTTAATGCACGAGCAAAGCTATATGAAATACTTACACAAATTTTCAAAGTGAATATAGATGTGTTTTAATCCATAGTATTGGGAAAACCATGGCATTTTATCAGACACAAGCAGCTACAGAAAGCTGCTGGTCAGTAAATAAGTGCAAACATTTAGAACACATCAACTGTTCTAGTGATCCATGCAGTCTTTATATAGAAGTACAAAGGCACATATAAACAGACCTCTGTATGCGTACAGCAATCTTATCGTTCACATGAGACGTCAGAGGAAAAAAGAAGGCTACAAACTTTGTTTTAAGTTGTTCCACAACAGTTTCTCTGCTCCACCAGTTTTCAATTCTTTTGGTACTCACTCTTAGTATGAAGTCACATCACTACAAGCTGAGGCTACAATCGTCTGGTACAACTTCCTGGGCTGGATGCATCACTGCTTTTAAAGACAAGCTTGGGGGGTTTTGTTTGAGAGTTTCTGGCATCCCTCTAACTCTTGTAAAGCATTTTCAGTTTTCATGTAGCAGCAAGGCTGCTCTCTCCAACACGTGCACCTGCATAACGTACATTATGCTTAGATGTCGGCACACTTAAAACTCTTAAGAATGCATAACAAAAATAAAAGACCAGAAGTCTCGGTGCGACAGTGCTGAAACAGACTCTCTTGTAAAGGTTGTCCTTTCAGCCATTCGAGTGAGCGCTCGCTTGTTGAAATAAATGCTAGAAGGCATAACTTCAACCTTCAACACATGGTATCAGTCGACACACCTTAAGTTTGTCGCCGTTATTTAATTCGGCTTAAGCATCTTCATGAAGACACGCAGAGGGGTGAAAGGCAGAGCTCCGACAACACGCGAGAACATCGCCAGGGAGGCAGACCGCCCCTCTCCTCCCCCTCAGCTCGTGGACTTCCAGGTACCGCGGACAGAACAGCCGCCACGACCCGCCAGTGAAGGAGCTCGCCCGCTCCCACCGGGGCTCGCCGCGCCCGCTCGCTGAGGAGCGGCGCCCCCAGGGAGGCGGCACGGAGCGGGCGATCGCACCCGCCCGTTCCCACGGCAACCGCACCGCCCGCCCCCTCCCTCCCTCCCTCCCTCCCTCCCCGGCCACCGCCAGCCCCGAGCGGGGAACACCGAAAGGAAAGTGGAAGGCGCCGCCGGCGGAGGGGAGCTCGGCGGGGCTGGGCCGCCGCAGATCCGCCGTTTCCACGGAAACCCCGGCGGGCGCGAGCAGCGTTCGCCACACAAAGGGGGCCAGCGGGCAGCAGGAAAATTCCCGGCGCCCGCGGGAGAAACGACGCGACGGGTCCGGGCGGCGGCGACCCAGCCCGGCGGCAAATAAGTCAGGGAACTTGTGTCCGCATCCCGCGCCCCGCCGGCAGCTGCCGGCCCCTCGCCTCGCCGCTACAGCGCTCCGGGGGGCGGCTGCACCGGGGAGGGGCTGGCTCCGGATGCCTTTTCCATCGGGGGAGCACGGCAGGCGGAGGAGGGAGGGAGGGAGGCCCCGCACCTGAGGAGCGGCGCAGGTCGCCAGGGGAAGAGCACGTACCTGGCGCCGGCGGGCCTGGGCACGGGTGCCGCGCTGGGGCGCCGGGAGCGGGCGGCGGCCGAGCCGCACCGGCTGCCACTACTTCGCACGCGGCGGGAGCGGGCAGGCGGCTCGGGCGGGGCTGCCAGGCTCCGCCCGCCGGGCGGCTCCGCTCCGGCAACAGAGCGCCCCTCATCTCCCCTCCCCTCCTTTTCCCTCCCCGCCGCCGCCACCATGTCACTTCCTCCTGGGGCTGCGGGAAGGTGCGACCCCTCGCCGCACCGGCGTCGCCCGACCTTCGGGGCGCTGCCTGAGCCGAGCGGTGGAGCCCCCGGCGCCGCTCCGCGCCTCGGGAAGGGCGGCCGGCTCCGAGGAGGGAGTCGGGGCCGGGGGAGCGGCGGCCCGGTGGAAGGGGCGCAGAGCAGCGGCCGTGCCCCGAGGGCCGCCGGTGTCACGGCTGACCGCTCGTCATCCCTTACCGGGGCAGACGTGGGGTGGAGGTGGAGAGGGAACTGTCGCGCGGTGAGGGGCACCTGTGACTATCTGCCTCTTCCAAGCAGAAACCGGGCGACAAAAACCAACTGCACGGCCTGCGTGGAGAAAGATAAATGTCGATGGCAGCCATCCAAGCACCGAGTACCCTGACATACAGGAGTCACTCTATGTGACAACGCAAACATTTGCTGCCGGGCTCTGACTGTGAAGTGAAAAGCGGCTTCCGTGAATAGAGAACAGCTAGAACTGAGTCTATTAAATACCCAAAGCATGGGTGCCTGCAGCACAGGCAGTACTCTCACTATCCAGAGCACTTTGTCAGGATACGCGAACAGAGCAGTCACAGCACAGTGCGCTTCCATCAACAGTCCTAGACGTGATGAAGCAATGAGTCAGTGTAAAGTTTGTACAAGGAATCCAGTCAGGAGGAGCAGGAGACAGGGCCACAATATGGATCCATCTAGGAAGCAAATCAGGAGATCAAACTGAAGGCAGATCTATCTACTAAACAGTTCAGGCAGGAAGTAGACACCCAGACCTGAGCTTTAAATGGAGCCCTGGTCCATGGGCAGTGTGTAGGTGGGGGTCCCAGGTGAGGCTGCTCGGGGCTGTTAAGACCTGACAGGTTCCTGCTGGTGGAGTGGGTGAGTGTACTGTTCCAGAGCTCAAGATTTAGCCACCCTCTTCTCTTTTAGTCATGAAGGAGTTGAATCCAGCTCAGTAACATTCTCAGGCAGTAGCCTAACTGCTGAACCATTATATGGAAAGAGATTGGTAAAGGGAGTTTTTCCTGCCATGTTTTAAAAGTCTGACCCTCTGGCTGCATTTTAAAGAAAGGGATACCTCCAGGCAGAGGGAGAAGACTTAAAATCGCTGAATGAGTTAATTATGGAGAATGACTGCGTTTGTAGCACAGCTACGTCCTAAGCATCCCCAGCTAGCTACTTGAAGCAGTTTCCTGTACTACATGCACAAATTCTTGGGGTATTATTCCAAGGTATCTCACTCAGTGTCTAGGTATTACTCTAAGAGCCAAAGGTCCAAAAGTCAGGCACCCTGATGCTGAGTGTGGTAATGTCTCAATATCTTTTATCTGTCCTTGAGACCAAACTCTGGAGCTGGTTATTTGTATGTTCTGATTTTCTGTGAAGCCACAATAAAAATCTTTCTTCTCACTTTCATTAGTGTTAAGTTGCAGTTGAATATAATTTTATGGATGCTTTACACCTGAGAAAACTCTCCAGTGGAGAGATGAATCCTATTTTTGATACAGTACATCTATTTCTCAAAAGTCTAACCAGGAAAATGTGAGAAATAAACCCCTCTTAATTTAACTAAAGTTTCTTCAAGTCTTGCTTTTGGCAGTTCCTTGTTCTGAGTGCTTGATTTACAACCTCAATGCAGTTTTTTTTCTTGTTGCTTGTGGATATGCAAATATTTTATTTGTACTGGGCAGGACTCAAGAGTTTGAGTCAATGGTACCTCCCAGCTATTCATCACTGTGTGAAATGGATAACTTTCAGTGAGTTTCCTTGTAAGAAATAAAGCCACCCAATTCAAACCCCCCCTATGCTTTGACAAGGCAAAGCATGCACTACAGTTGGTAATGAGCCCAGTTATCTCTCATGGCTGAAGTGAACTGCTTGCTGGTTCTCACAGCTGAACCCCAACCCTGCTCACCATGTGCACTTTTAAATGACTTGTGAATTTGACTTCAGGAATTTTATTGCAGGCAAAAGTTTGTCTATCCTGGAAAGTTCTGTGGGTCTAGCTATGCCAGCCTAGAGAAAAGAGAAAGCATCCCTGGTGTTGATGCTGCCAGACTGATAGGGTGGATACTAATACAGGGATACACTGTGATATCTGCTGTGAGCAGCTGGACTCAAAAAGTCCAGTTTGCTCTTGCTGCATGTCTTATGGTTAGATTCTCCAATATCTAATATGGTGTGGATTATAAAAGGCTCGTTTCATGCATTCAAAGCACTCAGAATGGTCCTCTTCTGTGTAGGCTGAGTGTAATAAAGGCTGAACTGCAGGCTGTCCCTCCATGCAGGCAATAAACAGGAAGCCTTTCCTGTACTTGGCTTATCCATCTTTATGAAAACTGTGGGAAAGTAATTGTGTCTGAGATCTCTGCTGCTTTTTGGGGATTGATTAAAATCAGCTAACAAGGTCAGGAATTATTATAAGGGCTGTTGTATATAGCATGACTGCACAATTATTTTTTTTCCTCTAGGAAACAAGATGAAAATATATGTCCGTAGGTTAATATACACTGACAATTTATTTAAATACAGAAACAAAAAATGAAAGGTACTGATGCAGTGCATTGTTGTAATGATAGAAATCCTAACATGGATGCAGGTGTATCAGTTTAAGTAGGCCATTGGCAGAGTGGCATTGAAAATCACACTCATAGCCTGTCTAATAATTTTTCTGGGCCAGTTTTTCTAGGGTGGACTAACCCTAAATATGATGCCTGTCATCTTCTCCCCTACCTCAGCTGTACAGTGGATCCACTGCTTTCACAGAGAAAACCCCACTTCCTTGCACAGAAGCCACACAGTACCCACAAATAGAACCATCCTGTTAAAACTAAACCCTGGGGCCACAGTTAATTTTAGGATAGACTCATTCTTTAATTGAATAGGCATTAGCAAAAGAACCACGTGAGATGCATTACAGAAATTGATATCCAGACTGTCCAGTCTGACCCTTTACAAAGACTAGTAAATACAGAAAGAATACTGGCTGAGATAACAAAAAACATATCTTTTAAAATATTTATTCTTTCAGCATGCTTTATTTTCTGCAACAAGTCCATGACTACCGATCAATTATGTTGCATTTATAATTTTTAAAGAATACTATTCCTTTAATAAGTATCTAGGATCCTACCATGCAAAATGTTTTCCAAATATCTCTCTCTGCAGAATTAGACCAAATATTTTCACATCTGCTGACATCCACAAAATAAATACTCCTTATACGCATGCAAATATTATTTCTACAGCTGGTTTAAGTATTCAACTTGAGCCTACCTATGAGGAGAAGAGGACCCTTTGTTTCTCTTTGCACACATATCTAATACAAATGCCAAAGTTTTGTTTTTCTTGTTTTCTTAAAGCTTGATTAAAATGAAGACTTCTGGGTGGACCACTTCAGGCCCAAACTTGGTGATGCAGGTGATTGGCTTCAGATATACCTATAGGTGCAGGTGGCAGAGCAGATATTTTAGACACACACACGCACAGACATGCACGCACACACATTCAAACACCTACCCTGTGGGAGGAGGAAATCTTGCAGCTCACATCAAACACAGTTCAGAGAGTGACTAAACAGTGAGGGCTTCAATGGCACCTTGGAAATGTAGAGATGCAACATCTGTTACTGGCATAGTCACGGGTGTGCGTGGCTAAAATTCCTATAAGATCTTAGAGGAAAGATCACTTTAGAGCTGCAGAGGTAAGGGTTATTAGGAGGGTAATCAGGAAACTGCAAAATAACTCAGATAAGAAACTGCAAAAGAAAAATCTTGGTCTGAACAACTTGAAAGCTGGAGTAGCACAGACCCTGTAAAAACAGATGCTGCTTATGCATAACTCTGTTTACATCACGTAAGCAGCACATTGGCTGCTCTCCAAGTCTTCAAGGGCAATACCTAATCTGCATGTGCAGTTACACAGACATCTACAGTTGGAAACAAATCTCACAATCAGCGAGATCTTTTTGCTTGTATACGTATATATCACTCTTTCTGCTTGTATAGGTACATTTCCTCACCTAGAAGAGGAAATAGCTACTTTAGTATGATGAGGACAAGGGTGCTTTATATTGCAATAATGTGTAGAGATGAACTATGTAAGCCTGCCATTTTGAACTTTTAGAAACGTACGTAAAAAGGCAATCCCTGAAATCAGTTGTTCTGCTTGATGTAGCTCGTTATGAACTCTGTAGCAGTTGTCCTCACCCTGTGAATGGCTGCATCCTCACCCTGCCCAAAAAGATAGCAGCTTTAAGCCACATTTACAGCATTCATTTTTATTCTGCCAGTGAGCAGCTCTAGTTCCATTGACAAATTTAAACTGAAGTTAGTGTTTGATTATCTGTTTGTTCAGTCACACAGAATTGAAAAGGTAATTTAAAAAAAAAAATCTGATTTTTTTCCAAGGCAGAATACTCATTCTTACACAATGCTTACTGAAGAACATGTGACCTGCTGCAGCTTCTGTCACTAACCCTGCACCACGCTGTCCATACTGGAAACACGAGACAGGACTCAATTCTCATCTTGATCAGCTGTAGCGGTCTCTATCCTGTGTTTTCCTATGTGCTGCTTTTGTAAAAACAACTGTATCTGATGGATAATGGGAGCTGTCTATTTCCCAAGAAAATTATGGGATAAACCCTGGTTTGGGTGCTAGGAAATAATTACTATGCAACAGTCTTTATATGGTGGGGATATTTTTTTCAATTTCTGTGTAATCTGATGTATTTGAAGAACAGATGTGGATCAATTTGTATTCTGTGTACTTTAGTAGAGCCCACTGTTTAGCCATAAAGACCCCACACTGT